GACATTCTTCTTTACAAATCCTCATTTTGTACTTCTAATTAGTGACCGTTGTTTTGTTTTGATCTCTTCCCTGCGCTTCCGCGTTCGTCACTTCTGAGAGGCGCATGCGCAAAGCCGAACTCATACGTCATCAGCCCGGAACTGCTTCCGTTTATAACAGTGAGCACAAGCTAGACTAATTCATACACATGTGAAGTGAAGTGACATATGGTGAGTATGGTGTCCCATACTCGGAATTTGTGCTCTGCATTTAACCCATCCAAGTGTACAAACAAAGCAGTGAACACAACCTACAATCCCTGCCGGACCTGAGACTCAAACATGCGACCTTCGGGTTACAAGTCCGACTTTCTATCCATTAGGCCACGACTGCCCTAATACACATGTGAGCACAAATACAAACACACACAAGCACACAAAAACATTTACAAGAAAAATATTGTTAAAATCTGGATGAAACTATTTCTGACATCGTATTTAACTGAAAAAATATTTTTTGTACCTGTCTGGTTTTCTGAGAATAAAATTATTTAACACTTATTGCCGATGTACATGGTGCATCCCCTTTTACTGCCGCCATTTTGAATATATTATGCAGTATCTCAAAACAAAAAAATAGATAAAAAGACAACAATTAAATAGAATCGTAGACAACACTTTCGGGATTCGCCAGTTGGTGGTTGGGACATGATGCTACATCTTAAATGGTTCAAAATGGCTTCCAAATAGCTGTCCACTGTAGTGACCACGATGCATCAGAGGGTTAAAGTGATTATTAAGTTTTAAATATATTCAAAAACGCTACGATTCGCTGCAGGAGGCTTTTGTTCACCCCCGGAGCCGTGTGAGACACTTTTTTTTATGGATGGGCGCTTTTTATTTCACTTCTTTTGGACTGAAGCACTGCAACACATGCTGACTGCAATGATAGAGCTTGGAATAGCTAGGACAATTTTTAATATAACTCCGACTGGATACGTCTGAAAGAAGAAAGTCATATACACCTAGGATGCCTCGGGGGTGAGTAAAACACAGCCTAATTTTCATTTTTGGGTGAACTAACCCTTTAAGCCCAATGTTGTGTGTGCCATTTCTGCGATTGTAGGAATCCTGAATCCTGTCAGGAATCCTGTCACAAGTGGAAAGAGATGACAGACTCACAGATAAGGCCTCTGTCATTCTGTGTTTATTCAGCTGGGCTAAGCTGGCACGTGAGTTGTTTCTCTCTATGATTTAGCCGTTTTTATGTAAATTAATTAATTTATAAAATGTTGGTTGCACTTCTATCAGCCATCCAGAGGGTTTGGTTAGGGTTCGGCATAGGGCACTGGGGTTGATATTGGGTTTAAGTTTAGGGTTTCAGTTTCAACAAAATATTTTGATCCTGAAAAGGTCACCCTAGAACATACGTCTACATTAGCTGGACTAACTTGAAGAATACTTGTTTTGGCCTTATTGTAGCTAGAGATAGAACTCTACCAATGAGTGATTTGACACGTTATTGAAACAAGTTTAGCAAACAGTTTTGGAGATTTCGATCTTTCAACATTCAAATAAATAGCATTCTAGAAAATGGCAGATGTTATCAAGATGGCCGTCAAGTATAACCCTACTTCCATTTATGTATTAACATTTATGTATAAACAAAGTTTCGTGACAACTACAAACAGCTTGCAGGTTGGCTAATGAACTACAGTATATCACTGTACTACTCTATTAATGTCATATTTTACTGTATAAAATAACATTAAATCAAAAAATCTAAAAGGTAAAATGATTTTAACACAAGGTTCTCTATGCATAAATTTCATGTCATAAATTACTTTATATGAATTAAAGGCTCGAGTATCATGTTGCGAACTTGTTCTGCTAAAGCTATTGTGATTTGGCCAGACACAAATCTCTCTCTACCTTACTGGAGGTGAGATACATAGGACATAATGTAATTCTGTACAAAACAAGCTATTTGTAACAGCAGATTAAAAAGAAATCCCATTGCCCTAGCTGGGCAAAGTACTTTTTTCTCTCTCCCTCCATTTTTTTTCTTTTTGCTCCGCAGACAACGTTGCAATTAGCATGCTAATGCCGACATCTGAACCTCAAAAGCTATAGAGTCAGTAAGAGGCTTTTCTGGGTTTCTAGAGATAACAAAGGACCTTTTACAAAAATTACTAGATGAAACACTTCCATTTATTCTGAAAGGCCTGATTTCTTCAATGTTTGGCTCTTTTTAATCCCGTTTTCTCAATATGCTATTGAGGTTGTGTGTGTGTTTATGGCTTGTTGTGGTTAATTAAGTTGCACACACTTTACCATTCTCCTTTGGGTAGAATTCAGTGGAGCATCCAGGGTTTTTTTTATGCATTTTATAGTCTGGAGTGGTTCATTTAGGAGTCCTACCTGGTTGTCTTTTCAAAGAGTTGAAGGATCAAAGGATCTCCTAATTCAGAGATGCTGGGCACTAGCTAAGACCTGTGGTCCAACGATGGCTGGTCTTAGCATCAGGTCAGAAATAATGAAGAGTGCATAATAGCCCTATTAATGGGACCTTGGAGTCCAGACCCCGGTACCTTTAGTAATCACAAGAAACAAAGAAATGTATGCACTGCAGTGCTACATTTGAGAAAGAAAATAGACGCTGGCCTTGATTATGCAGTCAAAGGGAAACAAATGGTGTGAAAGGTGGTTTGCTAGTATAAGGGGGCTCCTGTGATCAAAGCAGTGGTGGCCCAGTCTTTGCTGAGCCCTCCTGCTCTCGTTGTTACTCTTAAGAGTTGGAAATGCGGGAACTACAAGCAGGGCTTTCCACTCCAATGCCCTACAGTAGATCTTCAGTGATGGCAGATTAGAGAAATTCCATTGGAAGTAGGGCTGCACGATAACTCGAAATGGAATCGAGATCACGATTCGACAGAATGTCATGCGTATCTTTCAGTGAAGCACGGTTCTGTGATCAGCAGTAAATCTCCATCCAAAGTCCAGAGGGCGCTCTCGCGCTGAAACTCCAAATACGCCTCGCAGAAGAAACCCAGAAAATGCCTATCGCTGCAGCTGAATAAACAGAAGATTCAACTACTTTCATTGATTCAACGTGACTAATAAACACACGACTACGGCAATATACGGTTTATCTGAGTTCTTATTATTATAATTTTCATTAAAATAAAGTATATTTATAATGCAATGCCTTTATCACTGCTTAAATACTATGAAATATGTTGCGTGCCTTATTCTGTGTAAGAAGCCACATCATCTCACAGAAGGATTTATTTCAAACACTCGACTGACATTATGAAGTGAGTTTGGAGTAAAAATATGTTATTAAATGTGGTATTTTCACATACTCTCAGATGGAGCAGCATTTACTTCACAGAGCCGTAGTTCACTGAGAAGCTATGCAAACAGCTGTCATTATCGCAAACGATTTCTTCGATTTCATAATCGTGCAATAAAGTCGTCTGCGATTTTTTTTCCGTAACTTGTCAGTGAACTACAGCTATGTGTAGTAAATTCTGCTCCATCTGAAAGCACGTGATGAGGATTTCCTGCTGATTACAGAACCGGCATTACTATCAAAATGCACTTGACAATCGCATTCGATTAATCGTGCAGCCCTAATTGGAAGCCCTGCCGTCTATCTTACATTAAACAACAGAACATTGTAGTACGTTCTATTTTCTGTGTTGCTTGCTGTTATTTAGTGCACAAATGTTCAGATCTCTTGCAGCGACATTTTCTCAGGTTATCATTTGACTCTCATTTAACAATGATTTTTTTTTCTTCTCAACAGCAATGAGACTAAAAGGAGAACAAATGGAGACTTTTTGTTATAAACTGTGCTTGCAAAGATGTCTGTAATCAAAAGAAGATTTCAATCTGATCTAGAAGGGCCAAATTCTTCCAAATAAAGTGTACATTTTCTGAGATTTGAATTTTATGGTTCTATATACTTATAGATTGCCAACAATTGTCTCTGTTGTTCTAGTTTTTAAGTTTATTAATGAATTTAAAGTGTAACATCTGAGAATGTTGGTACTTCAGTGAAACGTCTCTCAACATTTTACTCTGGGATCATATGAAGCATCATATGAATATTTGTTATTGTTTACAAAAAACATATTTCAGGCAAAAATGAAGATTCTGTCATCATTTACTCACAATTATGTCGACTCAAACCTGTTACACTCTTTTTTTTGCAGTAGATATTTATTAAAAAAATATGTTGTGTTTTGTCCATACAATGGTGTCACTGTATGAGCAAAAACAGCTGAAACAGTCTTCAAAATATCATTTATTGTATCCCACAGAAACAAGTAATATTCACTGTAAATATGTGTATGATGTAAATGTGAGTATGATGATATATCATCATTTTGAAGGAGTAGCAATAGCATTGTGCCATGAGCTACAGTGAAATTCTTCAACATGTATGGTATTAATTTTCACTTCTCACTCATAAGCCATGGATCACAATCTGCTGTGGATTTCATACAGCAGTCTAAACACAATTAAATCTTGATTCGATCATTCAACAGTTTACATAATATCCCTTCTGTTTATTGCTCTCAAATGAGTTCTCTCGCTTAGCAACATCAGATGTTCAATCTGATGCAAGACAGTGCCTGGAGAAATTGATTTCCTAACCCTTCTGTATCACAATCTGTTTTATCGGGGCACATTTCTGATGTTCATTAAAACATCTTTATGTGTGTTATCTAAGATGTTCCTCCCTGATGTGCCCACTTATGCTCTCTATGATATGAGATAGGCCTCTTCAGTGCATAGTCTCATTTTGCTCTAAGCTCTGATAGGACGACTTTGACCTTTTGGATTTTTTTTAACAGGCTACTTATAGTTCACCGTGCGATTGTTGCTTCCGAGGCGAATCCTTTTGTGTCTTCTCACTTCTCCTGCACCTCTCACAGTATCTCAAATTGTGACCCACAATTGCAGAGGCCAATTTAGTAGTGGAAAATGGATTCATACAATCCCTGGGGTCACTTACAAGTACCACCATTACACACTCTACCTGCCAAGCAATTCTGTATGACTGATATGTAATGCGTCACAGAATGGTGCCATATCTCTCATATTGATGCATTCACTTCATATGTGGAGTTTTGAGAAGGTGTCGATGTCCCTCGTCGACATAGTGTTGAGAATCTGAAAGATTAAATGGGTTTTTATATCTATCCTTTCTTCCGTCCATCTCTCTGTCATGTACACCACCAGTCAAAAGATATTTGAATGTTTTTGAAATCTTTTATGCTCACTGAGGCTGCATTTATGCAATTAAAAATACAGTAAAAACAGCATTATTGTGAAATATTTTTCAAAATTTTCTATTTGAATAGCCTATATTTTAAAATATAATTTATTCCTGTGATGGCAATGCTACATTTTCAGCATCATTACTCCAGTATTCAGTGTCACATGATCCTTTAGAAATGATCCTAATATGCTGATTTGCTGCTCTAGAAAAATTTCTTCTAATTATCAGTGTTGAAAACAGTTGTGCTTCGTAATATTTTTTGAAAACCATGATAACTACTAGGGCTGGGTTTTGACACAAATTTCACGATTCGATTCTCATTCACAAGCTTTCGATTCGATTACCAATTTGATTCGATTCGATTCAATATTGATTATTTTGGATACATATCAGGTACAGTACATGCCAAATTTTCTCAAGGAAAAAATCTCTCAACTAATGCTGTAAAATATAGGCTTACATGAGAGTCAGTTGGTACTACATTACTATAATATTGAAGGTTAAAATTGACTGATTTGTTAACATTACACTTAATGAAGTTTTTAAAATAATGAAGTTACAATTACATAATATTTCTACTTCAATTCGTTTTTTTAAATATAAACATAATGGTGGCTGTCATAAAAACTTGATGGATTTATTCAAACATAAATTTAACATTGAAGAACAGTAAATCTTACAAAAAAAATTATAATGAATGTTATATGGTGCATATATTTAGCAAAATGGCCCTCTCTACAGTTTATTGTTCTATCTGACTAATGAGTTTAGTTCACCAAATATGTTTTTCTGAGGTAAATGTGACGTTACGTGACATTGTACTCTTTCTTTTAACTTACCTTCAGATGTTTAGTCATGTTTATTTTGTGCTAAAACTGGTATTAATGTGGAGGAGATGATCAGTTCACGTGCGCCTCGCTCTGCCGCGTCTGTTGAACTGAGGCGCTACAGCGATGAGCGATCTTTCACTTCACATTAAACAGTGCCAAAAGGGCATTTATTGTTTGAATACTGCAATACAATGGACAGAATTTGGAATCTGAGACTTTGTTTCATATTAAAAGTACCAAAGCACAATGCTTATTGCGATATATTGGATGGGAAGTGCCCTTCAATGTTCCGTCCATTAACTGAAAACAGGCTAGTCTAATCGATTCTTGGGATTTAAGAATCGATATCGTTCCGTAAAAATGAGAACCGATCAATATCGAGATATCGATATTTTTTACCCAGCCTCATCAGTGAGTATGGGAGATTTGCCTCACTATTGATTTCAATAGAATCCAGTGTTAGAATGTTGCAAGCTAACAATATGACACTTTATTTGGGGGGGGGAAATAAATCAATAAAAACACATGGCAGAATTAAAAAATATTGGGTAAAATGGTTAATTTTGAATTAGACCAGACTATTTTATTGATTTACTGAATTAATTTACTGAACCAGCACTAAATTATTCTATTTACGACTGATAGTTCTCTGTCCCTTCACCACCAATTATCCCTGAGCTTGTTGTTATTCATTTTACTTTGCCTTTAAGAAGGATATGTCTTAATATGCCTTAAAGAGGGATTATTAGAAACCAGCATAATTGTTCTATCTTTTGGAACAGCCCAGAGTGTGCCTTTAAATTATGTCTACGTAGGTAGCTGGCCAGATTTTAGAACAGAGCCAGTCTCTTTGTAAGTGAAAGAACTGCGACCCACCAGTATGTTTCAGTGATGCGTGAACAGGAGCGCCACTGTGCTGGTTAGTCAGCCAGTGCGAGATGTAGAGAGGCCAATAAACCGAGCTCGGTCCTCTGACAGTTTGCGCTGTGGCCCACTTTGAGCAGTGCCATGGTTTTAGGGGCCAGTTTGAGCCGTCGTCTCAGCTGGCTGAAAGAACAACATTGTCCAGAGAAACACGGTGAACATAAAATGGTTCAGAGGGCCACAATGAAAAGTTTGTCTATTTAACCATAGGGGGGAAAGCATTCTGCACTATAGGCCACCATTGAAATCTAAACAAATCTGACATTGACTGTATTTCCATGTCAGCTTTGGGAAATGCAGCAGAAATTGTAATGAATAGTTTGCATTAAATAATAATAAAACAATGACAATAGAAGAGTTTAAAAGACTTTAGCGACTCTGACTAAAGAACGGCACTGCACATTTTTAACTTTACACAGGCTATTGTGTCATCGGCATATTTAAACGACTGTCTCTTACAGTTTTACATTCAAGTATTTGCACACATCTACATCATCAATAATAAGGTAGAAGCCTTACCTTTTTATCGGCTTTCTTGGCCAACTTCAAACCCAAAGGTTTCGATTGTATGAGCTAGACACTCACTAAAATCCCTAAGCAGCAGTTCAGCTGCAGTACTGTTGTTTGAATTGGCAGTCTACGTCCTCCAGAGTCTTAAACTATGCTTGGGTTTCTTATTATGCAACAAAACTGGCCGGAGGTGACGTGCCGTTAGCAACCACTGTTTCTCCTCCTGGTCCAGAACGCATGCAGCTGTCCTCCATGTTCTGTACTGAAAACACCAGGGTGTTTCCACACTTCATCAGCATGTCAGGGCTCGCTCAAGATTTACTTTCCATCTCACCTCTCGCACAGAGCATTACGAGCACTTGTAAACATGAACCATGACCTGTTCGTTCTCAACTAACATCACTTTTGATCGTTAAATCCTCTTCATAGCTTTGAATAAAGGATCTCCACATAATGGACCAATTCATAAAGATTCTCCTTCACAGAGAATTCCTGGCAGCTTTGCCTGTGCTGACTCACAGTTTCCTGTAACTAACTAATCTGAGCTGTCAAAAGATTTTTATGTTTTGTTAAAGTGGTTGAATTGCCTTTAGATAAACACTGCCTACATATGGCTCCATTTACAGTAAGTCAGGTCTAAACAGAAAGAAAAAAAGACAAGGTAAAATGCAATACCTGTTTGTCGGCAGTCAAACACATGTCCATCTCTCGGTCTGAGCGACTGAGGACCTGACAGATCATTCATGGGCTGCGGGGGTTGGGCTTACCGGATTCAGAGGCTGCCAAAGCCACAAGACCATGTCCTCAGCATCTTGCTATGCTAAGCCAAGAAGGAAAATGTTAACTACATCTGGGAACACCGTGAGACAGTCAATAAAAAAATATGATGTAAGCACAGATGAAGCTTATAAAAGCATGTGCATGAAGCAGGGCAGGGTGAGGTTTACTGGAAGTTCTGGAAATCTTGATGAATACTATAAGAAAGATTTAAAAACCTAAAGAGTATGCGATTATAATGGTTATGTTTTCAAACAACATTTCTATTCATATTTTTTATTTATCATCCTTATTTATGAATTTAAATGCAAAATAAATCTCAAAGCTTAAGAATCATTTTGGTTTCACTACGTGAGTAGTTTGAAAATGTCTTTGGATAATAGTAATGTATGATATGGAAACTTTTTTGATAATATTTATTGGTAACTTACAGTAAGGTTCCATTTGTCAGCAGTTAACTACATCATTTAACATGAACTAACAATGAGAAATACTTCTAAAACATGATTAATTTTAACATTTACTAATACATTATTAAAATCAAAGGTTGTATCTGTTATTATTTAATGGACTTGAGCTAACATGAACTAACAATAAACGGCTGTATTGTTATTATCTAACATTAATCAAGATTAATAAATACTGTAACAAATGTATTGCTCGTTATTAGTTAATGCATTAACTTATATGAACTTATTGTAAATGGTTACTTATTTTTATTATTATTATTAAATACTGGCAATTAGACAAGAAATTAGGAGGGAATTTTTGAATGTATTGTGAATGTAGAATATAACAGAGAATCATTTAGATTTTAAGTGTTCTAATAATATTTACAGTAAATGATATGATTGTATAATTAAAGTTTATAGAGAGTGAGAAGCTTCAGGAATAATACATGTAAATTAAATTACAAGTAACGCGAGTTACGTAATCAGATTACTTTTTTCAAGTAACTAGTAAAGTAACGCATTACTTTTTAATTAACAAGAAAATATCTGAGTTACTTTTTCAAAAAAGTAATGCCAGTTACTTTTTTTTTCCCCATTTATTGATTGAAAGCTCTCCTGTCCCCTTGTTGAGAGAAATCGGGAGTAAGATGTTACTTTAGTTCTAGAATAAATGTGAACATGCATTAATTCAACTCGCTCACTTACAAAAAAAAAAGCAGATTTAGTTTTCCTCAAAATTAATAAAAACAGTTAAAAGCAACTCAGAATATGACTCAAAGCTGCAATAATTAAATATGTTAAATAATACAAAAATCCTTTATGTATTTCATCCCATTTTATTAACCAATTTGCTGCTGACCTTCGGTGATCCAATTCAACCATACTAATAAGCAACAATTACACAAGATAAACCAACATTTCTTCTTCTTTTATTATTGCTGAAGAGTGTTGAACTTTCTTCTTCTGTGTATACTGTACAGACGTTAATTTACATTTCCTTCAGCCTGAGGCTTTTGGTGTGAAAGGGCTTTTACATTTAAGTTAAAAATGAACAAATCAATGTATAATTTACAGTCAAAAACTGTAAACTGATATTCCCAGAATTCCTTGTGTGACACTCCACATTTGGAAGTATTTTGTTTAAATAATCATGTTTTTTAATAGTTTTTGTTATCAGTTATGTACATGTGGTCTTTATGTTACATCTTCTGTTGTTTAATGAAAGTTTATTGCATTAAGTATCATGTGTGTCTTTCCATGATGGTGTTTTGTGTTTGCATTAATGACTCTGTGCACCTTTTATATATTAGTATATACTTCTGCTTGTGGCGAAGCTACTTGTGATGAGCTTTGATTCTTCATGTGGCTTTCTCTTTTACCACCTGCATTATTATGGTGGTTGTCAGTATGTTAAAAGTACAAAACAGATTTTAATAGCAGTGTGCGTTGTTTAATTTATTGGTTTACATTCAAATGTTCTTGTTTGTAAATCAGTTTTATACTGTAAAATTTACAGTTTTTGGCTGTAAATGTGGTTACAGTTTTTCTGTATTTTTTACAAAATTATTCTGGCAACCACAGCTGCCAAAATTATTTTGTAAAAACTACAGAATTTTTTTTACAGTGCAGCCCAGATTTAAAAAAGTAATGCAAAAGTAACGTAACGCATTACTTTCAATAAAAAGTAACTAAGTAACGTAATTAGTTACTTTTTTAGGAAGTAAAACAATATTGTAATGCATTACTTTTAACTTTCCCCAACACTGCTCATAATGCATTGCAACAAGGTCTGTGAAAAAATAAATAAAGATGGCGGATGGAGAAAATGTTAATTAACTTTAAATTCATCTAATACCGAATCGGAATGCAAAAAAGTGTAATATACTATTTTACCCAAATTGTCTGTTTATGTATGTCGTGAACTAGAGGACTCATGGTGTATTATAATTGGAGCATTCTAGTATTATAATGCTGCTCACAGTTTTGTTGTTCATGCCGCAAATCGCATCTTTGCAGTTACATTTATTTAATTATATTTTTTTACTATAGCAACTGTCCACACTTTTCTCCCCCATTTTGATTGACAGCTCGTTTCTGATAGTTGATCAGTGGTTATTTAAAATTCTCTACAAAGGCAGTAGTCTCACGTAGTCACGCCTGATGACGTAATGTCTGGGCTTTATTGCCGCTAATTGGCCAAGGGCCGCCCACTTGGACAGGGAGAGGCTGTTTGATTGACAATGTAAAGCGACCAATCACAGTATACTTTGTTCAAAATCGTGTTTATGGGCAGGCAAATGTTGCTAAAAAACAAGACAGGTGTGAAATCATATGCCATTCATTTGGCATAAAATTAATTATTAATAAGAATAGCGCATCTGTAACGCCCCTGTGGACTGTTTATTGTGGTTTCTTCCCCTTTTTTTGGTTTAGCCTGTACTAATCATTAGTTAATTACCCTCATTGTGCTCACCTGTCTGCCACTAATTATCCACCCTATATCAGTTCCTGTCCATTGTGTTCCAGGTTGTCGGTTATTGTGAATGTTACCCCGAGTGTGTGTGTGTGTGTCTCACATTCCTGAATCTGCGTTGTTGTGTCTACATTAAAAGTAATTATTGGAATCCTTGTCGTCCTCGTCGTCCTGCCTGCCTCCACACACCGTGACCATGACAGAATAACCGACCAAGGGTAAAGTATAGCGGCGTCTTTCCCCTCGTTTGTTTTTCCGGTTTTTGTCAGTTTTTATTTTTTTGTTATGGATTACCCCGCCTTCCAAATCCTCCTGCTGGAGCAGGGGGAACGCTCTCTTGAGGACCACACGAACGACTTTCTGTCCCTGGCTCACCTCACGCACTACCCGGACAACTGCCTCTGTACATTCTATCAAGTTGGACTTAACGCCACCACACGAGCGCAGTTGTCTGGGGATGGTCCTCGAGAGAGCCTCGCCGCCTTCATCGAGTGGGTGCTGGTGT